CTGCAAGGCCCCGATGGTTAGATCGAGCACCATCTTGGCGAACGCGGGGGCCAGCGCGCGCAGCTGCTCCGCGCCCATCTCCACCAAGTCATCGTGCTCGTCCTGCGACGCCGCGCGGCTGTTCTTCTGCTTGCCGCGGCCCTTAGGCTTCTGATGTTGGGCGCTGCCAGCGGCGTCGCACCCCCCCTCTGGCGCCGTCGACCCGCCGGCGCCAGCGGCGTCTGCTCGCCGTTTCCTGCCGCGGGAAGCGGCTCGAATGCGCTGCCCATGGCTCCAGAGCGGCAAAAAGAAAATCCACTTGAACTCGAGTAGCAGCCTCGGTCGATGCGCGGCCACGCACGCGGCCAGGTGCGCCGACGGCCTCTCGAATCGATCGAATGGCCCAAGACCCTGGCGCACGTGGCGCGGCTTCGCCGGGTTTCCGATGGGAGGGCGGCTGAAGAGCGAAACGTCGACTAGACAACGCCCGCACTCGCATGCACCCGCCGCGGAAGGTGGCGAGCAGCTGTTTGGCGACCCTCGCGGGTCAAGTTGCAAGCTAGGTATTGATTCGTAACGTTGGGATGTTCAACCGTGTGCTTCCAGCCATGCTGTCCTCCCTCTGCCTGCCTCTGACGGGCGAAAAACGCGCGTTCGGTGCGGGTGGGGCATCTGCTTCCGCGCGGTAGTCCGCGCGCATCGCGCAGCCCGCGCTCGAAGTCCCCCTCCGCGCGCCCACCCTTCTCTGGGGCGTCCGCGGCCAGTTCGCCACCCCGGGCCGCGGCGAGCCACCCGCTGCGGGACTGACGCACTTCCCGCGGGTTGAAGGCCGCATCCCGGCGTCAAAAAGCACCGGGCAGTCGCCCCCCCGCAGGCCCCAGAGCCGACTGCCCACCTCTGTCAAAGCCACGCTCTCGACATCCGCTCGAAACTGCACGGCCCAAATGTCTGTCATCGCTGCGCTCGTTGGGGCCGCCGCCGCCGTGGAAAGCCACGCGCGCCCAGAGCCCGTCGCCAGCTCCACCTCCAGGTCGCCGAGGACTGTCGCCAGCTGCGGCGCGCGCCGCTCAAGTCGTCTCGATATCGCCCGCCGTTCTTCGAGTCGCTGCGATCGCGGTCAGATCGGCGCCCGCGCCGTGCCAAGCCTCGTCTAGATCTGCAATGCAAGCGAGAATCCAATGACCTCGCGCTCGCCCCCCCCCCCCCCCCCCCCCCCCCATGCCATCGCCCGCGAGAACTCGCGCCACAACTCCTTCAAGTGGTACGCGTGCGAACTTGAGGCGCTGCCTGTCGAGCACGTCGGTCTGCGCCTTGCCTGGCGCGAGTTCCACGAGTCCGGGGGTCGCCGCGCCTGCCGCCGCGCCCCTGAATGAGGTGGTCTGCATTTTCCACTGCATGGAATCCGTCCAGACATCCTCCTCGCGCCGCCACGCATCGCGCTTCAATCTCAAGCCGTAGGAGTCCTCTGCGTGCGGACATGGCCCCAAGAAACGGCGCCCCCTTTACGATCGCGCTGGGGGCGGTGCCCGTCTCTCTGCAGACGAGGCACATGCAGTTGGCGTTCGAGCCCGACCTGGCGTCGCGCGGCACCGCGGCTTCCTTGGCCCGGCTCCGAGCCGCGCCCAAGCCTCTTAGCGCTGCGTCGAGCTGTCGGTCGGAGTGCCCGGTGACCTCGCTGGCGCGCATCGGGCCCTCCGCGCAAATGGCCTCGCATGCGTCGGCGGGGGCGCGGGGCGACGGGTCAAGGAGCTCGCCGCCGCAGGAGCAGCAGGCCCTGAGCTCGCTGGGGCACCTGTCGCGGCGCAGGCACTGACAGTAGTTGATGGGCGCCGCGAAGGCCTCCTGGAAGACCGCGGCCGCGTTCGAGTCGCCCACGTAACGGCCCTCGCCGTCATGCGCGATGATCGTCTCTTGTGTGGCTTCTATCTTGCAGCAGGCGCACGTGCGTCGCTGAACATATTTCTGCATCGCATCCTCGGCATCGGCGCCGTGCTGCGCAGCCCGGCTGCGGATGTTGAAATCAGGCGGAGACAGTTTGCATGTCGCCCGCGGTGTCCACCGCGGGGATCCCGCGCTTCTTCGCGCGCCAGCTCAGGCAAGCAGGGGCGCGGATGGCCCCCGGCGCGCGATCTGCGCGGTCGGCAGCCGCGGCCATGATCGGGCACTGGTCGCGCGCGGCGCCTCGCCGCCTTCGCCCGGGTTCTGCCGTGGGAGCACAGGCCGCGGAGCAGCCCCATTCCCTCGGCGCCGTCCTGGCCGCTCGCCGTGGAAACCCGGTATGTCTGGGAGACGTTCACCAACGCGGTCAGCCGTTGATGCCGGCGGACCCCGCGCCCGCGCCCGTCGCGCGCCTCGCGGTGGCCAGCCTGGCATGGAGCAGGATGGGCCAGATCTCGGTGTGTGCAGACCATGGCACAGCAGCTCGCCGTCGCTTCGTCATTCGGAATGTGTGGCAGATGCGCTGGTAGTCCTCCGTGGCCACCTCGAGGCGCTGCTCGGTGGGGGCTGCGCTGGCGTCATTGGCGCTGGCGTCGCGGATAGAATCCTGCAAAGTAATCTCGTGCGCGCCCATGCCGCCGTCCTCCGCCGGCTTCGCCGCGTCGGCCTCCCACTGGTCCACGGCGGGCGTGCTCTCAGCAATGTGGCGGGAATTCCTACGTAGCGGCCCCGGTCCTGATCATGTCGTGACTGTAATTTCGTTGTCCCTCTTGTGCTTGACCTTTGTTTGATGTGCTTCGTGTTTGTCGTCAGCCGTTGCCGGTGCTTGAGTTCCTTTTCCATCCGCTTGGATTTAATAGTTGACCGATGTGCCCGCATCGTCGTCTCAAGGTCGTCCATCAAGCTGGGGTTACCTTCGCTGCGTTGTTTAGATGCTTGGACCTGGTGTTCTGTAAGGTGCTGGTACTCTGGTGGGCAGGCGCGCCCAGTAGCTTGAAACATTTCGTGGCGCTCCGTTCGCAGTGTCTTGACAAGGTCGCGCCAAGCTCCTTCCATGCTAGCAGACGCACCAAGCGTGTCACTGATGTCATTGTAGCCTGTCTCCTCTAGGTGTGTCCCGAATGCCCGCTCGACCTTCTGGCGGAATGGGGTGGCCCGTACCTCGCTCTGCAGCGCACCAGTCATCTCCACGTAGTCACATCATAGCTGCTTATCAGTATAGGGGTGGTCCACTGTTTCACGTGTCTTCATCGGGAATGCCATATGCCGCTTGGTCCCTGGGCACGGCTTCGGGTATCGCTTGCAGTCGCCGCGTTGGACGGCACGACTGCCCGAACGTCGTGACCTTCTGCAGCGCTGTGCGCGGGGCGAGGGGACGGTCGGTCCACGAGACGCGTTGCCCGCTTTCCTTCACAACGCCGCAGCATGTCGGACATAGGAGAAAATGTGCGTCCACGATGGTGAGAGCACAGTTCCTGCGCATACTTGTCCAAGCGCAGTGTTTCTCCATCCTCGCGCACGGGCCAACGCTGTCATAATCTACCGCCATGGGGCCAGTCATGGTCTGCGTGATGCCTATGCCGTCAATGATGTCCGCGCCTATGATCGGGGTGGTGCGGAATAGCAAATGCGCGAGGAGGTTTGTCGTGAAACCCTCGAGTGCGAGCGTGGTGTTCTCGATTATGTGCTGCACTCGTCCACCTCAGTTTGTTGGGCAGAAAACAACGCCATCAGCGTTATGTCAGACGTCCTGCTTGTGAGCCAAAGTTTTGTTTTTTTTTGTTTCTGAAGAAGACACGTCCAAGTGGTCACAAAAATCTCGCTTTTCGCGTCCAAGTCACAAAAACCTCAGAATGCGCATGGCAATCCTGTGCCACTCGATGGCACCTCAAAGGGAGGAGTCCGGGAGGGGAAAAGAGGAACCCACAAGAATATACTCGCACTCGGATGCGTACAGGTGGTGCCCATATCCTGATGACCTGCTTGTTTCGCACCGTGGCCTTGTTCAGAAGCTTACGACGCAGGCCTTGTTGCTCAGGCGGCTGTTCTGCTGCCGACCGAGATGGATGGCACGGAAGTGCGGGATGTCTTCTGCCGTATACGGGGTGTTCGTGCGGCGCTGCATGTCCAGCAACAGGATGACGTCTGCACGGCCGAACTCGTGGGTTCTCTCCAGGTCGCGGTCGCGGCCCGCGAGGTGGGTTCCAATAGATCACGCTCATGGCCAACAGGGCCAGAAGTATGAAGGCCTCGGGTGGCGGGCGCAGGGGGGTGGAGACCCACTGGGCGCGGGCGCAGAGGGCGTGGAGACCCAGTGGCTCCAGGTCGGGTCGGCCATGGCGCGGCCCTGCGCGGCGCAGTACTTTCGAGCCTCGGAGCCCCTGATCCCTCGACCCCTTTCCGAAAGACCAGCTGTTCACCCCGAGCCGTTTTTCAAACTTGTCCGAGTCTCTGGAGACTGAGCAAGGAGGAAGCACGTCGGCCGCGACGAAGGCGGCGACGACGGCAGACTCTGGACCCCAAGGGACATTGTTGTTCCTCCCGGGTCGCTCTTGTCGGTCCGCTGGGTCCAAACACCTCCAGGCTCCCACCTCTTCACAAGGACACGTCGGAGGCGGCCTGCAGCAGTGGCGGCTGCGATGGCGGCACGGCGGCGGCGACGACCGAGATCCGCTTGGCATCGGTCCCCAGGCCCCTGCGGGGATCCATGCACCCCGGGGCTCCGAAACGGGGCCCGACAGGAGACACCAGGTGCCGGAAACAGAAAGAACACACGTCTTCAAACCTTGGCGATGACGACGACGACGACGACGACGACGACGACGACGACGACGACGACGACCTTCCAACCACGTGTGAGCCCTCCCCTGCAGCCTGCAGGTCAGAATTCGAAGAATGTCTGCAGCAACGTGAACCCCCCGGTGTCCGATACCACGGCGCCGATTGGACCCGCAGGCGCAGGGCCCGAAAGAAGCCACCTGGAAAGACCTCTTCGAACCTCGACGACGCGACGACGACGACGACGACGACAACGACGACGACGACGACGACGACGGCGACGGCCGCATCGACGTCGACCGGTCCTCGTCCGGCAAGCGGCTAGAAGGCCGCGCCGGAGCGCGGCGGCCGCCGGCCGCGGCGGACGCAGCGGGGAGCGGGCCCGCGCCCCCCGGCAGCGACCGCCGGAGGCTGTCCAGGCCGCGCTGCAGCTCCTCCTCTGCCGCCGCCGCCTCCTCCTCTGGGAGCCCTGACATCGGATCCGCCCTACTTTGGTCGACTTGGCAAGTAAAGCGAAATATTTCGCTTTACTGTCTGCTTGATGCTAATTTCCGCCGTACTTTGCCGTAGTTGTTTGTGCCATGCCTTTGTACAAATATCCGGTCTACTTCTCTCAGGCGGAAATTTCCGCCCTCTTTTTTCTAATATCCTCTGTCAATCAGAAAATATACCAGAAAGTACGGCGGACCAGAAGTCAGGGAAGAGTCCCCTAGATCCAGACATTGTAATGTGTTTCACAACGGGCGCCGCACTTTGGGCCCCAGGGACATCACAGATCGATCTGGCTCGAAGGATGTCGCACGAAGATGTCGTCCAGGACTCTGGTAGCGATTTGTTGCGAAATTGTGTTTCTGGGGCGACTTCGGATCTCAGCGGTGGGCGAGCAGCACAAATAGGTATCAATGACACGCCGGGATGGGAAACCCATCAGCGTGCTACTGCCGAAGAACTGCCAGGCATTCGGGCAAAAACACTGGAATCTCACCAGCCTTTGGGCTAAGGTGGTCAAACGAGTTCAAATTCTGACCTTCCTCGTCCAAAACCTTCTTCCCTTCGGGGAAGGTCCCCTTCCCCTCCCCTCCCTGAAGTTGTTTGAAAGGTTCTGCGGTGTTTCAGGGGGTCCGTTCGCGCCCAATGTGGCTCCTAGAGGGCCTCCGATGCTGAAGATGGCCTCCAAGGCGGCTCAGAATCGCCGAAGCTGGTTCAAGGTAGCTTCCGACATCCCTCCAAGAAGCACGACGAGGGCCGCAAGACGGTTCCAAGTGCTCTCGGAGCCCCCGGAGCCCCGGCAGGACCCCCCCAAGAGTCTCAAATCCTCGAAACACCGATGGGAACTATGAGTTGTGCCTTCCGACCTTTTTCGCTTCCGATGCGCTTTTGAGGCCTCGAGACGGCCCTAAGATGGCCCAAGAGAGGCCCAAGAGGTGCCCAAGAGGCCCTCTAGACAGCCCCAAGAGCACCCAAGAGCGGCCCAAGAGCGCCCCAAGAGGCAATTTTTATATCCCCAGGGGGGGGGAACCAAATCGGGACCCCCCCTCCTTTGATCGAAAGCCTCCAAGATGGCCTCAAGAGGCCCTCCAGGGCTCCCAAGAGGGCCACGAGAGGGCCCCAGGACGGCTCCAAGAGTGCCCAAGAGCGCCCCGAGAGCGTCCCACGAGGAGCCCAAGAGGCGGTTTGCCTCCTACTCCTCCTCCTCCTCCTCGTCCTCCTCCTCGTCCTCCTCCTCCTCCTCCTCCTCCTCCCCTCGTCCCCATTCTCTATGGATCCGCCGAGCTTTGTTTCACTATGTGTGTCTCTTCGTCCCTTGTCCCGTCAGCTCTCGCGGGCAAGGTTCTTGAACGGGCTGGTGGGGACACGCGGAGCGTGAAGACTAGCACTCTGAAGGGCCCCCACCGGCAACGCGCGTTTGGTACTCATTTTCCAACAACGCCAGGCGGGATACCCAGGGAACGCTGGCACACTTTGGGCCTGGGAACTGCGGCGTGCGGTCGTCACTCGTCGAAGGCACGAGGCGGGGCATCCAAGGAGCACCAGCACACCGTGGGCCTGGCGACCGCGGTATGCAGGGTGTCTGAGGCGGATCGGGAGCTCTGTCCTGCACACCGAAAACCCAAGCCCCGAGAATGACACGCTGAGGTGGGAAACCAAGCAGCGTCTCACTGCTGGAAATCGGGCTCCCCCGCGGCAGCGTGTCATTGATACCCTCTTGCCCTCTGGAACAACGAATTCTGACCGCTTCCACCTTCAGCCGTTTCACCTGAGACCTCCCCACGTATGATTGAGATAATCGTGGTGTCGCCCCAATGCTGGCCTCATTTGTGTTCTGGACGGCCGCGATCCCTTGCACATACCACCCTGCAATTGCGGATAAGAGTGAGGGGGCCGGCGCGTGGTGGGCCGCGGGGGGTCGCGCGCATGGGGGACGACCACAGCAACACATCAATTTAAGACTGTTCGCTCCCCGTCGTGCAACATGTATACTCCGAGCCCTCGAACCCTCGAACAGTCGTCGATCGTACCCCCTTTGAGGGTGAATCTGGCTTACGCGCCACGCGTAGGTTGGCGCGGCCCCTGAAATAGGACGAGGGAAACGGAAAGGGAGAGAACGAGGAAAGCAGGAGGAACAGAGAAAGGAGGGAAGCAAAAAGGAGGGAGGATGATGGAGGGCGGAGAAGATTTAGCAGGGAGGGGAAGAGTGAAGAAAAATACTTTGTGCAAGCAAGCCCTGACGGGCTGGTCAGGAAGGCCGGCCCTGACGGACAGGTTGAGCGGGCAGGCCCTAACAGGCGCGTCGGGCGGGCGTGTCGGCCAGGCGGACCCTAACAGGCGGGCCAGGCGGGCGGGCCCTAGCGGGCGGGTCGGGCCAGACATTGAAGCGGGCGGGTGGAGGCGCACCCTTGCGCCCAAGGGTCGGTGCACGCGCCCCTGCCGCCATGCCAGGAGGCACGCGACGCGCCCGATCCGGGGCCATGATCGAAGCGGGTGAACAACCCGCGTCCCCCCTCCCCTGCCGCTGGCCTCCGCCGCCGGATCATCCTCCGCGGCATCCTCCTCTGCCTCCTCGGCCGCCTCCTCTGGCACCTCCTGCGCGTGGAGGCGAAACAGACGCCGATACCGCTACACTCCCGGACCTCTCCTGGGGGTGCGCTCTGGCCAGAATCTGGGCCGAATCTGGCCGTGGTGACGAGGGCACCCCAGGAGTTCAAGAGGGCGGACAAAAATTAGATACGGCAGCTTCGTGTCGTGACCACCTGCGCGTTGATTTCTGGCCCCGCGCGGATCGCAACCTTGAACGATCGCGGCTTGTCGATAGCGCACGTCGCTCGTTACCGGCCGACTCTGGGCCACGGGCGGCGCTCACCCCTGAACACCCGCGCTGGGGTTGCAGGCGCGTCGACACGACACGAACGCGCAGCCCCAGAGGTGCCGACCCCTTCGGGCAAGTTTCGACTCAAGGTCGGTCTGCTTCTGTTCTCCTCTGTCCTCCGCCACGTCCGCCGCGTCGTCCTCTGCCGCCTCCTGCGGGAAGCGCGTCAGGAGGCGACGACAGAGGGCGCCTCTCGGCAAAGGCGGACGGGTCAGCGCGCCCGAGGCTCCCTCGGCAGAGGCGCCGGCTGAGAGCGGCTCCGCGCGCGCAGGACCAAAGGGCCAACTCTTTCAGAGATGGTGTGGGTATCCTGAGGCCCTCTCCCGCCGAGGCAGGGAGCGAGCAGTTTGTGAGATGAGACCGCCAGCCGCGCCGCATCCTGAGTACTGATACAAAGCCCCTCGACCAGAGACCAGAGCGCCAACTCATGCACTTAATGAAACATGATGAAACCAATCTCACTTGGCCACAGCTATAAACAGAAGGCACAAAGATTCCAGATCCTCCGCACGAGGGGTGAAGGCGCCCCGCGATAGTTCAAGGATATTTCGTGTCACTGGCGATGCGTTGCGATGAAACACCTGCCCCGGGAAAGGGGTCGAGAGGTCCCGGGGGCCCACGCCCAGGGCTGCGCACGACGCGACAATAGCGGCCTGCGTTGTGGGGCTTGCCCCCCCCCCAGCCCCCCTCCCCCCGCGGCCCCCAGAAGCCGCTCACCAGCGGTCACTCTTTGCGAGAGGCCGCTCCTGCGTGTAGCGGCAGGCGGGGCGTCCCTGGGGAGCTGTCCCGCACTGGATCGCGCCACTCGTCCTGCCCGCCTTTTCGCTCGAAGACTTCAGGGGTGGACGGAGGTGGGCAGAGGGTTTGTACTCGACCGGGAGCCGACGGGGCGTCGACGAGGGGCCCCCGATAGCAGCACAGCACTGTCCTGGTCCTGGGTAGGGCGGGGCACTCATCTTCTGGCACCACGGATGATGATCTGGCGATCCGGGGTCGACGCTTCCTCGTCCGAGCTTGCCCCCCACCACCTTTTCAGAGCACTAGTGCCCAGGGAGGCTTCGAGCGCAGCGCCCCTCGGGGCAAATGTTCCTGGCCACATCGGCGCAGGGCCCTTCGGGCCTCGTGCCAACCGCTGAAGGCGCAGAAACCCTTCGTTTCCCCTGAACCCAGGATTGGCCTCTCGAAATGCAAACGCAAGCGGCAAGCGGAAGCAAACACTGCGCCCCCTGGTGTCCTCGGCCTCCTCCTCCTCCTCCTCCTCTGGCTCCAGCTGCTCCTCCGCTTCCTCGGCGGCCCCCCGGTCATCACCATCATCCTCCACGTCCTCGGCAGCCAGCGCGGCGTCCTCCTCGGCGGCGCAGGCGAAAGCGCGCTGTCCAGGGGCGAATCTTGTCCAGCTGCTTTGCAATGCTGCAGGCCCGCTGGGCTCAAAAAGCCTTGTGCCCCTCCTGGGAATCTGGACCCCCCAGTCGCGGCGTATTAGACGGCCCCCTTGACACAGTGTAGGCCCAGAAAGCCCAACATGGGTTGGATGCTGCAAAAAAAAACAAGATGGCCCTTCAGCACGGCTACAAGAAGCCCTGGGAAGGCCCCAAAGTGGCTCGAAGGTGGCCCACAAAGAGGCCTGACATATGGAAAACTACATCCTGGCGGCAGAACGCTCTAAAAAGCATCGCCAAAACATCACCATACGGGAGATTACGCGGGAGACCATGCAAGAGACCATGCGGGAAACCATACGGGAGACCATACGGAAGACAACACAGGACACCATGTAGCATACAATACTCAAGTCCATGCTAAAGCCCAAACGGGAGAACAGACAGGAGACCAGAACAGAGACCATGCGGGAGACCAGACGACAGACCATAAAGGAGACCATAAGGGAGACCACATCGAAGAGGAGGCCATGTGGGAGCCCGTGTCATCAATACGTCT